TTGATCCCTCTATTGTACAGATGTTTATGGCATTTGCCGCTGGAGCCAGACTTGTGATTGTTCCTGGGCAGGTTAAAATGGCACCTTCTAAACTTTGTCAAATCCTTTTTGATGAGGAAAGAGTGACTATTTTACAGGTAACACTCTGACATTTCAAACTATCTTCTTTTGAACTTATTCTTGATAGCGTTTCTCTGCCTATATTATTTTTACTGGCATTATATGTGTTTAGCGTATAGTACAGACTCTAATGGCATAAACTGCGCACACTCCGTGATCTAGCTTGGTGTTTTTAAAAGCAATGTGATTGGTTTGCTTTCTCAGACTACAAATGGTGGTATCCATAGAACCAGGTGGAGAATATAAAACACAAAATAAATTGCTGGTGGGGACTTAGTGCTGTGCCAAGGTTTTAGAATAAGAACTTTTTAAAATACAAGTCTTAGTGTGTTGTTTTTGAAAGAAGGAAAAGATTGTCACTTCAAAGTGTTTAAGTGGCCTGATATTTAAATTGTAATATTTGATTTACCATTAATTTGAAGAATTGTTTACAACTACGAGGAGAACAACACCATTTTAATTTGTGATTTCCTCACTATAATGTGAAGTTTGCCTAGAAATCGGAGGTAATTTATGATGGTAGACAATGAAAGCAAATACATAATTAAATCTCCTTAATTTCATGCATGGGGTTACAGACTGAACTAACTTTTTTGCTCTCTTTAAAACAACAGCCAACACCCTCTCTAATGCATTTCATTGGTCAGGACTTGATTCAGTCTAAGATCCTTGCTAGCGATTCATCTCTCAGAGTGCTTGCCTTTGGAGGAGAATCCTGCCCAGCCCTCTCCACCCTCAGAGCATGGAGACCACCAGGAAGCAAGACACTGATGTACAATTTGTACGGCATTACTGAGGTGTCCTGTTGGGCTTCTTGCTATCATATTCCTAATGATCAGTTGGAATTTAGGGAAATAGCAAGTGAAGCAGATAATGGTAATTGCAGAGAGAAAAGTCTAGATGATTTCCCAGTTGGGATTGTAAGTGATGTACCTCTTGGCCTACCACTGTCTAACACTCTGATTGAAATCCGAGATGAAAAAAATGAACTTATCAGAGAGGGCATTGGGCAGATTTACATAGGTGAGATCACTTATCAAAATATGAATGTTAATTGCGAGTTTAACAAGTGCGACTTAATACTCTCACTTTGTGTCTGTCGCCTTAGCAAGTTGTTCATCATAAATAGAGAGTGAAGGTACACTGTAGCTGTCTGTTTTTATGTTTTCCCTTTTTTATAACTCAGATGATTTACTTTGGATAGTCTCTCAAAATTCACAGCACACTATATTACCATAGCTGGATACATATGTAACTCCACATGATTGAAGCCATTTGTGAAGTATTGTGCAACACTGCACTTAAAATTGTAAAAGTGGGCTGGATTAATCAGCGTTTGCACGCTACATTTTGACTAACTAACGCTCTTGTCTTTTTTCAATAATAGTTAAAATAATATAGCACTGAATTCCATATATCTTCAATATTGAATCAAGTCTGTGGTGGGATCATGAAAATGCCCAAATAAACCTTTAACACTTCTAAAGACATGTATATGTATGAGCTTGTTTATTAGATTTGAACTGAATCAAAATAATATGATGTTGTGTTACTGTAACTGTACTGCAGGTGGTCCAGACCGTGTTTGTCTCCTTGGTGATGAAACATCACACACTGCAGAAACCAAGCGTAAAACAGGAGACTGGGCGTATGTGAAAAACCACTGTGTCTGGTTTTGTGGACGCAGAGACCGACAAATAAAGCGCATGGGAAAGAGAATAAACCTAGACTGGATTGAGCATGAAATTGCCGGAAAACTTCTTGGCAGTGAGTGTTCTCTGGTTTTAGACAAATCAGGTGGGATAAGTCAATCAAGAATCCACTTATTTGTGGTCAGTGAATCTTCTTTGTATAACTGCAAGAAACTTGCATCACTAAGAAGTAATCTGCATAACCTGTTACCAGTTTATGCTCAACCTGATTTTGTTCACCTAGTGCCTAAACTGCCAATGACAGCTCATGGAAAGACTGACCGCGATGGGCTCTTAAGGAGTGTTCAGAAATCCTTAGCTCACAAAGATATAAAAACTATCAGAGAATTACTTCAAAGTTCTTGGAAAGAGTGTTTACAAGTGACCAAGGCCAGAAGAACAGATTCTGACAAACTTGAATTGTTCCAGAATGATCCTGTCATGAAATTAAGTGCTTGGGATGTAAAGGAAGATGATCTGTTTATTGCCAGCGGTGGAACATCCCTAGAGGCTGTGCGATTGGCAGATCTTATTGAATCATGGATATCCAAACAAGTAAAGACCCCTATGAACTTTCCAGAATTACTGGATGTTATTTTAAGCCAATCATTTGGCGCTCTTTGTGGCTACATGGAGAGTGCAGTAAATGGCCAAAGTGGAATTGATTTGGGCAGTATTAAGGGGACAACCATGGTATATAAAGAAGAAGGTGATAATGATGAGATTTTCTCTGATTTAAATTCTGGCAAAGATGCCATGAAACTTCCAGTGAAGAGGAAATTGTTATCTTCAGTTGATGGTGCTTCTCCGAAAGATGAAGTGGATGTTAAGTCGAAGAGGTTGTCAACTGCAGAGAAAAACAGCAACTCAGTCGAAAGTGGAACAAACAATTCAGAGTTGAAAACTTGTTTCTGCTCTGTACGCAGAGGAAACCAGTGGACTGTTTGCCCGTTTTGCACTTTATCAAGACCCTTTGCAACAAGTGATATCACCAGTCAAACAGAGTCCTTTGCACCCAATGAAAGTCACCCTAATTATTTCTCTGCATCTGGTGATAAGAATCAGACCCTCCCCTCCCCTGAAGGTGTGAATGCTCCTGGTAACCAGGTCACTGTCACTTGTCAGTGGCGCACATGTCTATACAAATGCATTGATGCCTCCCCTCTTGTGGTGAACTCTCCAGGGGGGTGCGAGGGTGAAGTTTTCATTGGGTCACATGGTAAAGTGTTCATGTGCATTAGACTCAGTGACGGTGAAGTCCTGTGGGAGAGAAGTGTGGGAGACAGAATAGAATCATCTGCAGCAATTTCTGCATGTGGCATTTATGTCATTGTAGGTGAGGTATTTTTGTTATCGCAGGGAGACCGTGCCTACTGACACAATCTTGGAAGAGCTAACATCTTTCATTTTTGAATATTTGAAAGAAGTGGTATTTCAACAAAGAGCCTTAGAAATATGCATTCTTTGAAGACGAAGAATCAGTTCCGAGAATCCTACCCCTGATAGACTTCAAAACAGTCGGTGAAGCGCTGGCGTGATATTAGAGAGGTTAAACATCACTATTACGTCAAACGGTAAATGCGAATTTGTGCCACGTGACCAAGTTTCCCGTTTACTTGTCGTTTACAGTTCATTATTTCTACGCATAAATAAGTAGTTTCACGCAATTTTTTTACCCATAAGAACTGTTTTGAGCTGTTTTTATCTGCTCATGTTCTATTTTGAGAAATTCTCAACTTGAATCTGACGTTTACTGTATACGTGAAGCTTAAACTCTCTATTTTCGCCTGAAGCACGTGGCTCCCCCCTCACCCCAGACCTTTCCTTTGACCGCTTGTGCGCGCGTTCTTAACCTTGGCGAAAATACGGGCTGTTTTCCAGTCCTTACCCCAGATAAAACACTAGCAAAAGTAAAAACAGGACGAGTGGAAAGAAACCTCTGACCTTCTTGAAGACAGCTGCCAATGTTTTTCATTTACATTTTTTTATACTACATTGTGAATGGAAAACATTGGCAAAAATTTGAAGTATTTTTCCTGGCGTGATCTGCGTTATCTTTGATGCTATGCACTCATCTTTTTTAGCCTAAAAGAGATGAGTGCATAGCATCAAAGATAATGCAGATCACACCAGGAAAAATATTTCACTAAATAAGATGAGTGCATAGCATCAAAGATAATGCAGATCACGCCAGGATAACCTGAGATCAGGCCCAATTTCTCAGGTTACGCCAGGAAAAATATTTCACTTAAAAAAGATGAGGGCATAGCATTTTCAAATTTTTGCCAATGTTTTACATTCACAATTTAGTATAAGAAACTGAAGGCATGGCATCATAAGTAATGCAGATCACGCCAGGAAAAAGATTTCAAATTTTGTTGCGTCTTGCGTCCTAATTCAAGGCTAAATCAGGACGACTTTAACGTGGTTATAGACATTTTTTACTTTTAAAAGGTGCCCCTAAGGTACTGTTCCTTTCCTTAGAACTTAAGTTGTTTTATCTTTTTAACATGTTTTCTTTTGTTTTGTGGTTTTTGTAGGTTGTTACGACGGCAAAGTCTATGTATTTAACCGCTTTACTGGTGACACACATTGGACATTTCAAACTGATGCAACAGTAAAAAGTTCACCTTGTATAGACTCACAGACAGGGTTAGCCTGGGTTGGGTCACATGATCATCACCTGTACGGCCTAGACATCAAGCGTAAGCAGTGTGTCTGTACAGTGCACTGTGGTGGTGGATCATGCTTCAGTTCTCCTTGCATCAGCCATGAGCCTCATTTAGTTTTTATTGCAACATTGACTGGCCGTGTTGTTGCTGTTGATGCCGATAAGTACACTGTCCTTTGGAGTCAGCAGTGTCCCAAACCAGTGTTTGCATCACCTCTATTGATCCCCTGTGGCGTTGTGTGCGCATGCGTTGATGGGCTTGTCTATTGCTTTGATTTTCAAGGAAGAGAGATGTGGCGCTTTGAAACTGGCGCCCCTATTTTTTGTTCCCCTGCTTACACTGGAACAGAATGGGATACTGACACCCTTGGGTATATCGTGTTTGGATCTCATGATAAATGCGTGTACTGTTTATCAGTTGATGGAAAGATGCAGTGGAGTTTTACAGCTGATGGACAAGTGTACTCAAGTCCTTTCGTTACTCAATTGAATTTCAAGCGTCAGACAGGCTGTCACTCAACATGTCATGTGGCATGTAAAACGCGTCACACAAGTCACGCAAAAATGGCAGTGTTTGTGTTCTCCACCGTGGGAACCCTGTTTATACTGGAACTCAAGTCTGGTATTCTTTTAGGTTCTTACTCTTTACCTCGTGAAGTATTTTCATCTCCAGTTGTTACTGATCAGCAAGTACTTCTTGGGTGTAGAAATAATTATATTTACTCCCTAAAAGTGAATCAAACCGCGGGTGACTACACTCAGGTGTCACAGTCATTTCCTCGTCTTTAGCGGGGGCTTTGACCGCAGCTTACCTGCACGCAGTAAAACAACATTAATTTTGTTGAAAGTATGGTCAATCATTTCTGTTGATACATTGATTCGACTTAAACGAGTAAAATTCCTTAATGACGGGCGAATAATGTGACTCTGTGCTGCTTTTTAGTTCTGTGTCAGGCTGTGACGGTTTTTTTTTGGTGTGAGCTGAGGGGTTTTACTTTATGTGAACATACAAGTAAACAACTTAAACAAACAGAACAGGGTATAACAGCAGGATAAGATGATGAAACTCCCTGCAAACCAAACCTCTTGTGAAAACAGAGAACACTACAAGAAAACAAGGTCTACTCATTGAACCAATTGTCAAATAGGAATTCGCAAGTTTACTTCACATACAATTTCTTATGACGTTCCATGAAAGGGAATTTATATTCTATCAATAAATTGGAAAATATGGCGTCATATTGACGTCAAATTACGTCATTGTGTCAATCACGTTACGCCTATAAGTTGGAATTGATGAGTACATTATTCTATGTAATTTTGGTAACCGTAGCATGAGCTGTTTTCAAAGGTTTTTGAGGAGGCCTCCGAGCTGCTTCCCCCCCCCCCACTCTTCTTCTCCGGTCGCAAAAAAGCCCCAGTTTCAAAGTTTGAATATGGTAACTAACTCTTCAGGAGGGTAAAATATTTGTCTGGCCACGAGGGTGGATAGAAAAAACGAAAACCGACTGGATATTAAGAACCGATGACATCCCATTGGCAGGTCGGACACTTAAACCACTGAGCTGCTTTTTTTCTATGCCTGGGCTGGATGTTACTTTTTTTCTGGCGACTCAAGCCTGAAAACAATCTTCGGTAGGTACAGACAACCAACCGTTGTGGATTTTTTTCTTCTTTTTATCCTAGTTGCGGATATGTCAGACATGTCACTCATATGTCTGCTGTAGAAGGGAAGCTAGACGGGTAGAAACTACTACCACACATGATACCGTTTGCGCTCAAAAGCCGAATTTTCGATATGTGCATTTCACCAAGGAGGATGTTTAATCCACCGAGGCGGCAAACACCTTCCTCAATTTGTATATTTCTTCATGCCGTACTTGGCTTCATTCAACAGTGGTATAAAACTTTGGTATGTTTGAGAATTTTCTCGTGTCGTATCTGGCCTGAGATGTTTCTTTCACAAGTTTGTAAACTTTAGGTCTGGTAGCCATAAGTAACTGTTAAAATTTCGGCTTTTTAGTAATACCGTTAATTTTTATCGTTTTAAAAGATAGTATTGTTAGAAATGGAAAAAATTACCACACGTTTCGCAGTTATAACAAGGCTCATCTAAGATATGGCATTTTACTGTCTTTATCATCCATCAGTGAGAGTGCAAACAGCCCGTATTTTGTGCTTGGCTCAAAAACCGCGGAGAGCGAGAGTCCTGGAGCGAGGGTAAAAACGGAACGGGCGTAAATTGACGGGCGTATGACACTCTCGCGCTTCGCCCAAAATGCTCACGCAGCCCTTGAGAAAGGGATATTACATTTGGCTAAAACCGGTTTTGTTAGTGTCTGATTTTTTAAAGATCGAGAAGGCGAATGGAAGATTTTTTTAAAAAGAGCAGGGTAAGTTCGAAATACGTGTATGGAGAGTTTCGAAAAACCGGGGTCCGAAAAATCGGGGTGAAAATATTTTTACAGTGTCTGCGCAAATCCAAGGGAGCGTAGGGGAAACGACTTTTGGTTCGTAAAATTTTGGAAAATTAAAAACAAAAACTGAATTCCACTGTGCTCATTAACTTGCAGCCTAAATACAGTTATAAAACCGGACAAAAAGATTCTTACATCATTATCAAAAGGAGTGTAAGTAAAATATTTATTCCTTCATAAACAAGCGTTCTGTTTTTCCTTTGAGAATCACAGAACAATTTTGTAATTTGACATGATAGTAATTAACTCTGGGACTTATAGTACGTGTGTTATACTGAAAATGATTAAACGCGGTCTATTTGTAATATATAAAAATAAATAAAAATAAATGTCACATGAACTCTGTGAAAAGTCGGAACCCAGTTGAAGGGGACTAGCTCCGGGTCGACTTCACGGAAAAGGCGTACGTACTCTGATGGTTCAGCAAACTTTGTATTTCTTCTAAAGTTTCAGCGTTGTTACAAGTCAACTTAATCTCACACTAGCTTGTACTAACTCTCTTACAAAAACCTGTTGTAGCTCCTTTTATCCTGACTGGACATGACAGGTGCCAAGGTTATGGCGCAATCCGAAAATCAATTATGACTATAGAATTCACTTAAGTCCAGTTAAAGTCCAGTCAAAAGAAAATAGTCTGAGAGATGTAAAGATCACAAAGAATGTATTTATATATATAAATCGCTGATTCACACTATCGTTCAAAAAGTACAACTAATCAACTTTTGTACATTACATAAGTTGTCGTTTAAAGTCTTCTTGTAGGAATAATTAACAATACTAATTTGTCCCGCCTTTGCAGTATATTAACTCAAAGTTGTTTACGAGTTTTGCAATAAAACTAATTAGCGTACAAATATAATTGCACGGATTATCCAACAAAAGTGTTCACCTGACAACCAGTCTCCAACAATTGTTAACCAACTACACTTAACGAAGTATAACTAAATGATTTGATCCAGCTTGATCCGGAGATCTCGATGGACAAGGTTTCTGTCACTAAAACGCAAGCCAACTCAAATAAGATCTTGAAAACGTGTGAGAGTAATAAAAGCAGCATGTTCCAGGCGAAACTTTGTTTTCTGGAGAGGTTTTGTTTGGTCAAGTAAAAAGTCAATTAAGGCCAACGGAACGTATCCTTTGTTTTACCAGCGCGTCCAATTAGTATGAACAAAAGACAGATTGCAACAAAAGATAAATCTTAGTATTAAAATCACTTAACGGCCGGCACGTGCGTTTTCGAAATCTCTCTACTAAAACAAACAGATATAATAAACCTTGCACACTTTTGCGTAAATAAAGTAACACTCAAAATAATTCAAAATAGTGGCTGTTTATGCGTACTTTAACAACTCACTGTGTACAATTTCAAGGTAAAACTAAAAATAAAGGGTCTGTTCCTTTCGGTAAATGCAAAAACGGATTTTAGATCTTAAAACGGATTTCGCATCCCTTTCGACAAATCCAAATCCGGATTTTTGATCTGGTGAATGCTATTTGAAATTTGAAATCCGAATCAGATTAACGAATTAGTGATCTACGCTGTTCCATCCACAGTGGATCCGAAATTTGTCAGATGATCCAGCGGTATTTCCAGTTGAAGTTTTCCCGTCGACGTTCCTAGCTTGTTGCTGCCACTTGCCTTAAAACGTCTGAAAACACTGGAAGATTGTTTCTTGTACAGTAAAATATCCATGTGCTAACCATTTGTTGCTAACGATTGCTAAAAAAACACAAGTAAGTAAGAGGGACAAATGAACTGCCATCTTTCTACAAACTTGCTTGTAGACGCGATAGGCAATCCATCGTGTTACATCAAAAAAAAAAAAAACTCCGAGCTACCAAACTGGATCAAACTGAACCGACAACCTGCGCTTTAGATACTTGTCAACTTTAATGCGCTTCTTTCATGATCTGTTTATGTTCCATCGTCGCTATTCGAACTGCCGACCACAAAATTCTGCACGGTGTAATCGTATAATTTGTCAAACAGTGGAAAAAACGTCATTTCTTGAGAGGCTGCCATGTAAATTGCACGCGATTGCAAAAGGTTACCAAGTTACAAATCCAATTTCGGGTTTCACGTTCCTTTCGACCGCGAAATCCAGCAACTCTAGGATCAAAAATCCGTTCATGGATTTGCCGAAAGAAACACACCCAAAGAAAAAGAAAACCTGGAAATTTACTCTAACAAACATATTCTATGCAAACCACGTCAGACCGTAGCAATCGTGTAATTAGAGAACATTTCTACCAAAAAAAAAAAAAACAGTTCCTCGATGTAACTAACTCGGTAGATTATATTACTCTCAAGATTATCAATAATATCACTTGAAAAACTAACAAAAGTCATCTTCACGACGTTTCTTACGATAAGCGAATTCGAAATCAGTTTGATCCGGTCCACGCTTTTGTGGCTGATTCAACTGTGTACGGTCAAGATGATCAGGCGCCTGCTGCTGGGAATCCATAACACGCTGGACATCAGCTAATAAACGGGACAATTGCCTGACGTCAACATGATCAACTGCATTCTTATTCCGTTTCACCGAAAGAGCGCGTTGATAACACTCCTTGGCTTTTTCATAGTCACCCAACTTGTGATGTAGCTTACCCATATTATGGTAGGTGTTTGCGACCTTGACATGATCGGGTCCAAGCTTACGGAGTGTTATGGACAAGGAACGTTCATAATACTCTTTGGCCTGCCGATGTTCTCCCATTTCGCTATGTAGGTTACCCATGTTATGGTAAGTACCTGCGACGTGGACATGATCGGGTCCAAGCTTACTGAGTTGTATGGACAAGGCACGTTCATAATACTCCTTGGCCTGCTGATGGTCACCCAATGCCTTTTGTAGGTTACCCATGCTTTGGTAAGTATTTCCGACGTTGACATGATCGGGTCCAAGCTTACTGAGTTGTATGGACAAGGCACGTTCATAATACTCCTTGGCCTGCTGATGGTCACCCAATGCCCTTTGTAGGTTACCCATGCTTTGGTAAGTATTTGCGACGTTGACATGATCGGGTCCAAGCTTACTGAGTTGTATGGACAAAGCACGTTCATAATATTCCTTGGCCTGCTGATGGTCCGCCATTTCCCTATGTAGGTTACCCATGCTTAGGTAAGTATTTGCGACGTTGACATGATCGGGTCCAAGCTTACTGAGTTGTATGGACAAAGCACGTTCATAATACTCCTTGGCCTGCTGATGGTCAGCCATTTCGCTATGTAGGCTACCCATGTTATGGTACGTATTTGCGACGTGGACATGATCGGGTCCAAGCTTACTGAGTTGTATGGACAAAGCACGTTCATAATACTCCTTGGCCTGCTGATGGTCAGCCATTTCGCTATGTAGGTTACCCATGTTATGGTAAGTACCTGCGACGTGGACATGATCGGGTCCAAGCTTACTGGGTTGTATGGACAAGGCACGTTCATAATACTCCTTGGCCTGCTGATGGTCACCCAATGCCTTTTGTAGGTTACCCATGCTTTGGTAAGTATTTGCGACGTTGACATGATCGGGTCCAAGCTTACTGAGTTGTATGGACAAGGCACGTTCATAATACTCCTTGGCCTGCTGATGGTCAGCCATTTGGCTATGTAGGTTACCCATGCTTTGGTAAGTATTTGCGACGTTGACATGATCGGGTCCAAGCTTACTGAGTTGTATGGACAAGGCACGTTCATAATACTCCTTGGCCTGCTGATGGTCAGCCATTTCGCTATGTAGGTTACCCATGTTATGGTAAGTACCTGCGACGTGGACATGATCGGGTCCAAGCTTACTGAGTTGTATGGACAAGGCACGTTCATAATACTCCTTGGCCTGCTGATGGTCAGCCATTTGGCTATGTAGGTTACCCATGCTTTGGTAAGTATTTGCGACGTTGACATGATCGGGTCCAAGCTTACTGAGTTGTATGGACAAGGCACGTTCATAATACTCCTTGGCCTGCTGATGGTCAGCCATTTCCCTATGTACGTTACCCATGCTTTGGTAAGCATTTGCGACGTTGACATGATCGGGTCCAAGCTTACTGAGTTGTATGGACAAGGCACGTTCATAATACTCCTTGGCCTGCTGATGGTCACCCAATGCCTTTTGTAGGTTACCCATGCTTTGGTAAGTATTTGCGACGTTGACATGATCGGGTCCAAGCTTACTGAGTTGTATGGACAAGGCACGTTCATAACACTCCTTGGCCTGCTGATGGTCAGCCATTTCGCTATGTAGGTTACCCATGCTTTGGTAAGCATTTGCGACGTTGACATGATCGGGTCCAAGCTTACTGAGTTGTATGGACAAGGCACGTTCATAATACTCCTTGGCCTGCTGATGGTCAGCCATTTCGCTATGTAGGTTACCCATGTTATGGTAAGTACCTGCGACGTGGACATGATCGGGTCCAAGCTTACTGAGTTGTATGGCCAAGGCACGTTCATAATACTCCTTGGCCTGCTGATGGTCAGCCATTTGGCTATGTAGGTTACCCATGCTTTGGTAAGTATTTGCGACGTTGACATGATCGGGTCCAAGCTTACTGAGTTGTATGGACAAGGCACGTTCATAATACTCCTTGGCCTGCTGATGGTCAGCCATTTCCCTATGTACGTTACCCATGCTTTGGTAAGCATTTGCGACGTTGACATGATCGGGTCCAAGCTTACTGAGTTGTATGGACAAGGCACGTTCATAATACTCCTTGGCCTGCTGATGGTCACCCAATGCCTTTTGTAGGTTACCCATGCTTTGGTAAGTATTTGCGACGTTGACATGATCGGGTCCAAGCTTACTGAGTTGTATGGACAAGGCACGTTCATAATACTCCTTGGCCTGCTGATGGTCAGCCATTTCGCTATGTAGGTTACCCATGCTTTGGTAAGCATTTGCGACGTTGACATGATCGGGTCCAAGCTTACTGAGTTGTATGGACAAGGCACGTTCATAATACTCCTTGGCCTGCTGATGGTCAGCCATTTCGCTATGTAGGTTACCCATGCTTTGGTAAGCATTTGCGACGTTGACATGATCGGGTCCAAGCTTACTGAGTTGTATGGACAAGGCACGTTCATAATACTCCTTGGCCTGCTGATGGTCACCCAATGCCTTTTGTAGGTTACCCATGCTTTGGTAAGTATTTGCGACGTTGACATGATCGGGTCCAAGCTTACTGAGTTGTATGGACAAGGCACGTTCATAATACTCCTTGGCCTGCTGATGGTCACCCAATGCCCTTTGTAGGTTACCCATGCTTTGGTAAGTATTTGCGACGTTGACATGATCGGGTCCAAGCTTACTGAGTTGTATGGACAAAGCACGTTCATAATATTCCCTGGCCTGCTGATGGTCAGCCATTTGGCTATGTAGGTTACCCATGCTTAGGTAAGTATTTGCGACGTTGACATGATCGGGTCCAAGCTTACTGAGTTGTACGGACAAAGCACGTTCATAATACTCCTTGGCCTGCTGATGGTCACCCATTTCGCTATGTAGGCTACCCATGTTATGGTAAGTATTTGCGACGTGGACATGATCGGGTCCAAGCTTACTGAGTTGTATGGACAAAGCACGTTCATAATACTCCTTGGCCTGCTGATGGTCGGCCATTTCGCTATGTAGGTTACCCATGTTATGGTAAGTACCTGCGACGTGGACATGATCGAGTCCAAGCTTACTGAGTTGTATGGACAAGGCACGTTCATAATACTCCTTGGCCTGCTGATGGTCACCCAATGCCTTTTGTAGGTTACCCATGCTTTGGTAAGTATTTGCGACGTTGACATGATCGGGTCCAAGCTTACTGAGTTGTATGGACAAAGCACGTTCATAATATTCCTTGGCCTGCCGATGGTCAGCCATTTGGCTATGTAGGTTACCCATGGTTAGGTAAGTATTTGCGACGTTGACATGATCGGGTCCAAGCTTACTGAGTTGTATGGACAAGGCACGTTCATAATACTCCTTGGCCCGCTGATGGTCACCCATTTCGCTATGTAGGTTACCCATGTTATGGTAAGTACCTGCGACGTGGACATGATCGGGTCCAAGCTTACTGAGTTGTATGGACAAGGCACGTTCATAATACTCCTTGGCCTGCTGATGGTCAGCCATTTGGCTATGTAGGTTACCCATGCTTTGGTAAGTATTTGCGACGTTGACATGATCGGGTCCAAGCTTACTGAGTTGTATGGACAAGGCACGTTTATAATACTCCTTGGCCTGCTGATGGTCAGCCATTTCCCTATGTACGTTACCCATGCTTTGGTAAGCATTTGCGACGTTGACATGATCGGGTCCAAGCTTACTGAGTTGTATGGACAAGGCACGTTCATAATACTCCTTGGCCTGCTGATGGTCACCCAATGCCTTTTGTAGGTTACCCATGCTTTGGTAAGTATTTGCGACGTTGACATGATCGGGTCCAAGCTTACTGAGTTGTATGGACAAGGCACGTTCATAACACTCCTTGGCCTGCTGATGGTCAGCCATTTCGCTATGTAGGTTACCCATGCTTTGGTAAGCATTTGCGACGTTGACATGATCGGGTCCAAGCTTACTGAGTTGTATGGACAAGGCACGTTCATAATACTCCTTGGCCTGCTGATGGTCAGCCATTTCGCTATGTAGGTTACCCATGCTTTGGTAAGCATTTGCGACGTTCACATGATCGGGTCCAAGCTTACTGAGTTGTATGGACAAGGCACGTTCATAATACTCCTTGGCCTGCTGATGGTCACCCAATGCCTTTTGTAGGTTACCCATGCTTTGGTAAGTATTTGCGACGTTGACATGATCGGGTCCAAGCTTACTGAGTTGTATGGACAAAGCACGTTCATAATATTCCTTGGCCTGCTGATGGTCAGCCATTTGGCTATGTAGGTTACCCATGCTTAGGTAAGTATTTGCGACGTTGACATGATCGGGTCCAAGCTTACTGAGTTGTATGGACAAGGCACGTTCATAATACTCCTTGGCCTGCTGATGGTCACCCATTTCGCTATGTAGGTTACCCATGTTATGGTAAGTACCTGCGACGTGGACATGATCGGGTCCAAGCTTACTGAGTTGTATGGACAAGGCACGTTCATAATACTCCTTGGCCTGCTGATGGTCAGCCATTTGGCTATGTAGGTTACCCATGCTTTGGTAAGTATTTGCGACGTTGACATGATCGGGTCCAAGCTTACTGAGTTGTATGGACAAGGCACGTTCATAATACTCCTTGGCCTGCTGATGGTCAGCCATTTCCCTATGTACGTTACCCATGCTTTGGTAAGCATTTGCGACGTTGACATGATCGGGTCCAAGCTTACTGAGTTGTATGGACAAGGCACGTTCATAATACTCCTTGGCCTGCTGATGGTCACCCAATGCCTTTTGTAGGTTACCCATGCTTTGGTAAGTATTTGCGACGTTGACATGATCGGGTCCAAGCTTACTGAGTTGTATGGACAAGGCACGTTCATAACACTCCTTGGCCTGCTGATGGTCAGCCATTTCGCTATGTAGGTTACCCATGCTTTGGTAAGCATTTGCGACGTTGACATGATCGGGTCCAAGCTTACTGAGTTGTATGGACAAGGCACGTTCATAATACTCCTTGGCCTGCTGATGGTCAGCCATTTCGCTATGTAGGTTACCCATGCTTTGGTAAGCATTTGCGACGTTCACATGATCGGGTCCAAGCTTACTGAGTTGTATGGACAAGGCACGTTCATAATACTCCTTGGCCTGCTGATGGTCACCCAATGCCTTTTGTAGGTTACCCATGCTTTGGTAAGTATTTGCGACGTTGACATGATCGGGTCCAAGCTTACTGAGTTGTATGGACAAGGCACGTTCATAATACTCCTTGGCCTGCTGATGGTCACCCATTTCGCTATGTAGGTTACCCATGCTTTGGTAAGTATTTGCGACGTCGACATTATCGGGACCAAGTTTACTTAGTTGTACAGACAAGGCACGTTCAAAAAACTTCTTGGCCTGCTGATGGTCACCAATCATGTGTTTTAGGACACCAATGTTATGGTACATTCGGGCCACTACAATGTGATGGGGTCCAAGTTCATTTACTTGTATGGAAAGGGCAAGTTCATAATATTCCTTGGCCTGCTGATGGTCACTCAAGATAAAATTTAGTTCACCTAGTTCGCCGTAAAGACTCGCAACGAAGAAGTGATTGGGTCGCCGTTCCCTTGTCTCATCATCTTCAATGATTGTTAAAGCTGCGCTTAAGTACTTAATTGATGAATGGAACTCGCTATGAAGGCGGCAAAATCGTCCAAGCACTCTTAGGTTATAGCAAAATTGGTAGACGTCCAAAGTTGTGTTACAGAAAACCTGAAATGTATCTTTATTAAAGAAAATGTCGTTAATTCCCACTACTAGCGTTTTTAAATGTGGAACCATTTGTCTGCTCTGAAGGAAAGAATCCACAATATGCTCAATCTTTGGGACTGCTTTGGTAATAAACTGCTTGCATGACTGCAATGCAACAGATAAAACTCGGGTATGTTCATTAGTTTTAATTCGATCTTTAACTACCAACTTCAGAATATCGTGTACCACTTTGTGTAATCGAATGTTCACGTCATTCTCATCGTCGATCAAGAGCAATGAGGAGCCTTGGATCTGAATGCCTACCTCCTCTTTATCCAAGCTTTCATCAGCATTTACCACATACGTGGTCAACACGTCCAACCTCAATGGCTCTGGTGCACAAAAAGCGAGAAAAGTGAAAGCGTGCTTCATTATTTGATCAGAAGCCATTACCGCTTCAACGGCTACCCTGGTCGCTATTGTCATAGAGTTTTGGTAGATACTATTTACTTTGGCAAGTTCCTTTTCAGTGAGTTCACGTTTCCCGTTTTCAAGTTTTTCTAAGTAACCCTCCCAGCCAAATGCTGGATTGCTATTTCGCAGTTTTCTCATAAACACTCCTGCGCTGGCTAGAGCAAGTGGCTGGTAATCCAAAGCATGAGCCACCTGTTCTTCCATTTCGTTGCCGGAGATTCCAGAGAGCTCGATTAATAAACGAGTAGCATCCGCAAGCTCCATACCTTTGCTCAAGGAGATGTGGGATGTAAAGGAACTCTCAGGAGGGATACAGGAGCAATCCTGCGTTGTGATTAGCAGCTGGCCTTTGCCCCACTGCTCATTTCCTCTCTCAGGAAGAAACTGACCCATTCTAGCGAGATTTGTGACATTGTCAATCACTAAGAGCCAAGATGAGTAAAGGTGGATTTTTGTTGTAATTAAATCTTTGATAATGGCTATTTTCTGCTCAGTACTTAAATCCTTGGAGTTTTCGGTAGTAGTTATATTATACGCGGGGCAGCTCACCTTTCTTGCCAGCGAGAGGTATGATGTTAAAAGCGCCTCTGGGTTTTCAGCACTTAAAGTCATTACAAATGACGGAGCAGTTGTGTCTTCACGGGCGTCTTTGTAGAAATTCTCCACAACTAATCCAGCCAGCTGAGATTTACCACTCCCGGGATTGCCTGAAATATAACAATAACTTAAAGCGCTATCGTTAGTCTTCCTAAGGTTTAGGAGTTTCTGCGTTACTTTAGCAACGTCGCAATCGCGTCTCGCGATCACATGAGGAGGTCTGGGTGGAAGGACGCAAAATGGTTCTACTTTGCGCTGTAGCTGCTCTTCAAGGACCTTGCGTTGTTCTTCTTTAGCTTGTAGCCTGTGTATGTTTTGTTGCAGTTCGGCATGCTTTTGTTGTAATTTGCTTTTTTCTTCCTGAAGTTCGGCATGTTTCTCCAGAAGCTCTTTAGCTTTTTCCTGCAATTTACTATCTTTGCTTTGAAGTTCGGCATCTTTTGTGTGAAGGTCTTGAGTAAGGTTCTGAACGTTTGTAATCACATTTTGCAACTCATCGGTTGGAAAACCTTTCTGTGTACTTACAGTTTGGATTTCAACAGTAGACAGGCCAAGATTTCGAAATGCTGCCTCCACTTTGCCAACAGTGATGCTGAAGTCTGTATTTGAGAGCTGACCTTCTGTCATGTGAGCGAAGTCTTCATTGCGAAACTTCCTGAGATGATCAACATTGGTTTTGATCAGTGAACTCAGTCCATGAATAGAATCAGAGAACAGGATGGCATAAAATAGCATAGTACAGTCCCATTCCGCCCTGTCTCCATTTACCATTGTAGCCAACAGTCGGGCATTTCTTCGTTGATTACCTGGGGACTCACCGTTATTGAAGTCTAGTCCATTTTGAGGCGTGTCCGTCCATTCTCCAAACGTTGTCATGTAACGATTGTCCCATTCCTGCTTGAACAGAAATCGCAGAGCTTGGGGCAGTATGTCAGTGGCTATGTGACAAACCCTGAAATAGTTAAGCTGTTCTTCCGAAAATATTTTAGTGGCCATTTGGTGATAAAGGGGGGTGAGCAGTCTTGAAACCTGATTTACCAAAAAAAAAAACAGGGTTACAAATTGAATTAAAATGCATGGCCATTGCCTTACACAATACTTTAGGGATAAAATGCGTTTCTATTTATACCTGGATTTTTTAAAACCGGGTTCGCAAAAAAATCAACTCATTCTACTACTTGGCAATCTAAAAAAATAAAACTTCATTCAAAGGCTGATTAAAAGCCTTTATCTGACTCCGGGCAGTAAGTTAGTAGCTACTAGAAGCATTAATTTCAACGAGTCCAAATTTAAAATAACGCAAATTTTAGAACATTTATTCAGTGATCTGACTCCGTGAAGTTTCAAACTGGTGTCATTTCAGTCTAGAAATTTTTAAATTGAGTGAACTGCAGCGAAAAGGTGTCTGGTTAAGGCTTACATAACAACTTAAATAGTTAGCAAAACACTACTTTTTTCGCGGTTTGATAAACGACTGGGTTTCGCAGGGAAAAGATAACAATCTGAATTAAACATACTACATAAATTATCACCTTCGTATCTGCAAAAACCGGCCTATTGGTTCAAAGCCATTAGAGCCCGCTGAAACTAGACCTAGATCCAATTTTCCTGAGTCGAGAGTTGCTTTTCCAAGGTACAATCAGCTAACCTAATTACACCGAAGAAACGTTCTTATGGCTGGCACAGAATACTTTAGCGAAACAGCTCAACCACGCGACCTGTCAACACCATGCGGAAATCACACAATCACACACTTTCTCGGCACTGATAAAACGATCCACAACCACGCATAATCTTCTGACGTTTAACATAAGCCAAATATCATAGAATAATTCGGAAAAACTCAGCCTACTGGCAGATAGACGCCTCTGGACTTGTCTCTTACACTTCTCTTATTCAAGTTCCCGGATGTAGACCCTGACTTCACACCAGAAAAAAACTAAGTTTTGTCCTTGGTCAAAGTTCACCGGCAATTTTGCTCTCGCCTAATTCTTTTGACTCCCAAGAGCCTGTTCCCGAGGCCAAGACGCGGAGGTCACCTTAGAAAAACGAACAATATCGTACCTTTCTGTCTAAGCCCGGATGTGGGTGATTGATCCGTTTAGCAAAATGAAACGAGAATAAAATACGATATTGGACGATGCAGACTTTGCGAATAGTAATAACTTTGTCCCATCTCAGAGCTTTACATGATGCTCTCCGGGAAACTTTTCTCAAGGTGACCAGTAACGAAATGTAAACTGCTAAACGGCACCGTCGAAGCCAGCTCTAGGCGCGCACTGATTTCAACTGAACGGTCACTTGTGTTTAAGAGAGAATTGTGGGTAGGATAAAAAAAAAAGACATACAGAAGGAGGGAGTGAAGGGGGGGTAAATAGAAACGCGCTAAATTCTGTCTACAGCCACATCTACACAAAGCCCTAACCACAAAACGAACACACAAACAAAAAAGGACATCAGCAAACAAATCACTAAATAAACTATTAGACAGGGGAAGTTGAGAGAAATTACAAAATGTTTGCTAACCCGGTTTTCATAATTCCAGGTAGATTTGCTTTTATTATTTGATTTGATTTGAACTTCCTGAAGCCGACAGGAAAGGGTCAGCAGTAAAAAGTAAAAGTAAAAGTATAGTAGGCCAGGAGGATTTAGTGAAACACTAAAATAGAAATATTAATGAATTTGATAGGTCAGGTAAGTTCAAACGGTTTTAAAGTTTTCAACAGTTGCATGGTTCAACCTTGAATTTTATTGGTCCGTTTGCAAAAAACCTGCAAGTGTCCCGGTTCGAGTAGTCGCACTGTGATGGATCTAATACAGTTGTTCGATATAAAGGAAAGATACTCCTGGATTACCAGGAGAATGTTGTTGAATTTCGGACCCAAAAAAGGGCTTCGCATCTTTGTGTCACCCGAGAACGTCCCCAAGCCAACCCGCGGTGATGAATGTCAAGTTTCATACCATTCATTCTCAAACACCCTCGTCTCCCGCTAAGCAGCCGTTGAAGCGGCCGGGGCACTAAATATCAACGTCAATTTTTTCGTTATGACTTTGCCGTAGTTGCGTTGTTCGTCAGTCGTCGAACGTCTGCCACCCACATGCAAAAACCAATTTAAAAAGCCTTCTTTTAGATATCGACCATATACCTCGCATATTGACGGAAAAACGTATGGGCAACCCACATTCTCTGCAAGAAATCGCACGTTCCACACACGACAACGTTTTAAAAAAATATTGAAAGAGATAGATGAGACGAAGAGATGGAATGCGACAGGCCACCGTGGATAAAAGAACAGAATGATAGAAAAAGCACGAAGAGCAGGCGACGTATGACTGGCGAAAAAAGAAAACGAGACTCCATGGAGTCAGCCTGATTAGCTGGCGGGATTAGATCCCGCCAGTTACGCAGGCTAGACTGGAGTCGGTGGCCGCTTGTGACACGCACGCGCTTAAATTTCTCTCTTTGTACTATCCCTAAGGAAATTAAAAATAGCTATAGCTTAATTTTTTTAAAAAATAGCTATGCTTTTCCTATTCTACCTTTTTGTGTCATATTTTGTGGAGGTATTAATCTTTACACTTTACAGCTATTGAATGAGGCCTCGATAGATAACGCCCCACCATCTGCATAATTATTCCTCACATCATATGAAATTGCTTTCTTATTCCTTTAAAAAAATTTCTAACTTCTTAACATTTTTCATTGTGACTTTTACCTCCTTGTAGAGTTTGTTTCTGAGCACAGTCTCAGAATTTGAACTGATGTCTTCATTTCTTTTTGCAGATGACATCCATCAAGCAATTGTCTGTTTGGGGGGAAAGGAAAATTTTTGCAGTTTGTTCATTTTAGCCAGCAGTTCGGCTGTTTCGTCTTCAGATAGCCGCGAACTCATTAGTCTCGCTTGCTTTAGCTGCGAGACTCTTAAAATGCAAGCATTTCTTTAATTTTTTTAGTGTGTACACGCCAATTTATTTTGTGAAGAAAGCTTGCAAAAGATTGACGCGAAAGATGTCGAGCGCTTGAAAGCGATGATTACTTTGAAACAAGCGAATACTTCAGTGAAAACTTCGATGGTTAGGGTGTAAAATGGTCGGGTGTTGTAAACTTTTACCGTTTATTTTAGGCGATGATTAAAATGACGCGCCATGTTCATCACATTTTTTTCTCACTCTCTCTCTTGCAATGATGTGATTTCTCTCGATTTTCGTGCATTTATACACGACTCAATCATCGTCGAATAGGATATAAAAAGTTAATGTCCTGGGCCCAGTTGTTCGAAGGCCGATTAAGGCTTAACCCAGGGTTAAATTTAACTCTGGTTTCCTTTTCTTGTGTTCAAAAGCATTTTCTCGGATAATTTTCTCTGTTATTTTTAGAGCTTCCAGTCATCAACTTGTAGACAAAAGGAATTAAAACTGAAATGCTTTTTAAGCTTTCAAATGTGAATTAAAATCTCGCACTAACCCTGGGTTATCTTAAACCAGCTTTGAACAACTCGGCCCTGAAGAATACTCGACCGTCGATAAAGTAGGAAGTGAAAAACTTTTAGCGAGGAAATCCTGTTTCGTGTAGAATTAATCGCCTCCTTTTTCTTCTCTATCTTCAAGCAAGCGAGACTTAAAGATTTTAGGAGGGTTATTGTTCAATATGTGAACTGCACTCATGCCAACCGGTTTTTTTTTTGCATGGCGTCAGGGATTGTATATTGGCTCGTCACGCAGGAATCCGCATGGGTATCCATTCCCGCCAAACTTCAAACTTAATGTACTTAGATCTAAACAATCATTTCAAACATTCTTCTTTGCAATTTAAATTTGCAATTATTGAATTGGAAATTGGAATCCACAATAACTGTAAATTATAGTATAGATCGCCCTCTTTTATAAAGCGCTTTTTCCTCCAATGTCCCAAAGCACTTTACAGCGTGTTACATAGTTACACTTAACTGTAAAACTCAAAACACTTTTCTTGCTAGTTAAGCTTTTTCTCAAAACGAAATGTCGCCTAAAAGTTGAAAAAGAAAAATGCGGGTAACGTTACAAACCCTGGCAGCTGTTTAGTTTGCTTTTTCTTTTTGCCACAGTTCATACATGTTAAATGCATTACTTTGCTAAACGGGTAAATAAATAGGGTATCACTGTTTCGCTCTTCACGCCTAGTAAGCTTACGCCCGTTACAAGAGCAAACAAAAAAAGTTGGTCCCGATTTTCAAAATGCTGAAGTGGTTAACACTATCGCGTGTCAGCGTTATCAATCGATCGATCATCTTCGCTCAAGTGTGAGAATTTTCCAATTAAATTTAGGCTTACCATGCACGTAATACTGCTCTTTCGAAAATTACTTATTTCAACTTGCATCTAAATTCAACTCGTCTTTAACACAACTGAGCCAAGACTTGCACCAACACAATGTCTCGCGGCGGCCCTTTACTAATGCGGTGTTTTTATTACAGGGTTAAGCTGATATTTTCCTTATCAACGATCAAAATACGACTTTTTAACCTTTTGGAGTTTGAAATAGAAAACAAAATGACAGACAGCATTTCAAGAAAAAAAATAATAAGACACGCGATCTCGAAAGCGATCAACTGATCTTTAAATTTGGAGTTCTTCAACGCGTAAGACATAAGCCCAGGCGCCTCACAGAATCATGGATTTTCCAAGTCTTAGAAAAATGTTGCCGTACCGTCTAAGTGTTAAATTTAAATGCTGATTTGCTTTACAATAATTGTTCAAGTCATCACTTCTCAGAATTTCAGTGAACACCAGCCTTGTCTGGGAAACTGATTCTCGGGTTCCAGAAACACCGGAAACCTGAGTGTCTTATTTTAAAAATCTATTTGGGGGAGCATGCCCCCAGATCCCCTTAGGTAGCTCGAGCCTTCGGCACTCGCAAGGCGCCTTGCGCCGCCAAAAAATATCGCGTCCGGTGCTTTCAGTATTGTGTCCGCTACTTTAAAAACCTGTCGAAAACCCTGCCATACGACTTTTTTTGATTAGTAGTAGGGGTGTAATTTTGTCAGTAACTCTAAGGCGAACACTTTCGCCTACCGTCCACTTGTATTCGGTGAAAACGATCACCGAATCACGCATCTTTTCAAAAACGCTCTCCAGAGTGAGGATTTTTGAAAACGCTGGCCACTCGTTTACGTGTGGACGGACGAAAACGCAGGTTTTCGAATACGATGACGTAATGCATCATTTACTGCTAGCATGACGCATGCTTTGCAAGGGATGCTATCGTGTTTCCATTGTTTAGCGTTTTCGTATGGACGGGCGAAAACGATTCGAATACGCTACGTGTGGACGCGTATTTTTTTGGAAAACGGAGGAAAAAACCTCCTTTTGCGATCTTCCTAGATACCGTATTAAAGGTCCTCTGCTTGCAGATGGACGGATAAATTTGTAGCGAAATTTATTCTATAAATTACAGTCAATTTTCTAATGATTGAAACATTTTCGACCAATCGACAGGATAAAAAGAGTTACTGATTCAGCTTGCTTGCATTGGAACCTGTTGAAGTAAAACCCTATATTTCAAGTGGTGACGACAACGTTCAGTGTATACTTTGTCAGCAAGACCCTTGCAGCTTCAAAAATCAAATTGCAACGCATCATTGAAATTATCCTGTAAATATTCAACACAAAGCAGATGACCAACTCGGCAACTAAATGGAACGATCGATCGAACTAGTCAGGACTCAACTTTGGAGACCTATGGAGACAAGCCAGGTTTTGATCTGAGCTTAATACTGAAAACGATTGCAGGCAAATTACAGCTTTTCTTTGGCGAGCTGATCAAGTGTTTCCAAGTCACAGAGCAAATTATTTTCTTTCGTTTCTGTGCGACACATTGAAATTAATCATCAAAATTTGTTAATGTGAGATTTGTACCGAAGCCTGTCGTATTATTGGTCTCATAAAAGTGACAATTAACAAAAAGAAATCATACAACGTCCAAATTTTACTTTCGACCTACAAATAGTTCTCACTCGAATAAACTTCCGGTTTGAAAACTCATGAGAAACTGGTAGATCACGGATCATTGCATGTTTCCAATGCGTTAAAATACTTCATGTGGTTGTTTGAACATCACTTACCGCTTATCTGTTTAATCTCCTGTTCATAAACCTCTCAAGGAAGGATGAAATTATCCAAGGAACTCAATCGAATCAGTGTGCAGCAACATTCGCTTTGCTAAGCACTTTACTTTCGTTCTCCTTGATTGTCTTTGTATTAATTAACGTCTACCGCTGTCACGCGATCACGCAAGGATACGCACGCTAAAGAGCGTTCAGATGGGACTATATTCCTTTTTTGTTCTCTGTCATATTTGCCTAATTTTGACTCTTCCCTGCAAAAAAAAAACCTTGAATGTGTTTGGATGCTTCTTCTTGAATCAAAATACTCTGTGATAATTTAGTGTTTTATTTTTCTTGTTGTGTGCTGTGTCACACAAATGTAAGAGAAAGACTTACACAAAAGTAAACAGCAGTTGACTCACGGGATGACGATACAAATTTATGTCGATGTTACAGCTGAGCCGTCAGCCATCTACTGACTGTACTTAGTCTTCGAGATTAGCGGGGGAAGTAACACTTTCAGGTGCGTTGGTGTGACTAAACGTCCTGTAACTGTAAGCGTATCTTATGCACTTTCTCGCATTGGTACCTGCGACAAGTGATTTAAGCATCGCTTCGACTTTTTGTACTTGCATGAAAAACTAACGAGTTTTAAATTCTTATCGTGGTAATAGTCCGGAGTACCCACAGGCAACTGCCTGTTTTTTTTTTTTTTTTTTTTTTTTTTTTTTTTTTTCTGCCCCCGCAGGGATTTCGCCCAGAAGGCGAAATCCCGAGGAGGCACTCTAGTAACTCGCGCGTACTTTAAGGAAAGTACTTACAGTTGAAATATACAGTCATACAGTCAATATAGAAAAAATCTCGGTTTACTTGAACAGGGGCCGCGAGGAATCGGTAGGTAATGATGACGTTTCTATTGTTTGCGCCTCCTGTAACTGTAAGCGTATCTTATGCACTTTCTCGCATTGGTACCTGCGACAAGTGATTTAAGCATCGCTTCGACTTTTTGTACTTGCATGAAAAACTAACGAGTTTTAAATTCTTATCGTGGTAATAGTCCGGAGTACCCACAGGTAACTGGCTTTTTTTTTTTTTTTTTTTTTTTTTTTGTTTTCGCAGGATTTCGCCCAGAAGGCGAAATCCCGAGGAGGCACTCTAGTAACTCGCGCGTACATTAAGGAAAGTACTTACAGTTGAAATATACAGTCATACAGTCAATATAGAAAAAATCTCGGTTTACTTGAACAGGGGCCGCGAGGAATCGGTAGGTAATGATGACGTTTCTATTGTTTGCGCCCGCAAGTACGAAATGGTTAGGATGACGTAAAGACAGAACATCCCCAAGGGACCGCTTAGGTAGATTTTGTGACATTTATTGTGCAGTCATACTTCGACACTCTTTTGCGTTACGTGTTATCAGTGACATTCTGTGGAGCAGTTGTTTCAGTGAAAGTTATGGACCAAAATTTTAACGACACTCGTTAAGCGCAGAAGAAATTATAAGGTGCCTATAACTGTGTATAACACTTGGAGAGTTTGCCAGACAGGAGTTCACAAATGTTTGATTGAAAGCTTGCCAGACACTCCTTCTCTCTCTTTGACCGGAATAAGACTCATCCCCAAACCAGCAAGACAAGTGAACAACGGCTAGCTTCTCACTAGCAGAACGATGGACGATCACAGAAATTCGCCGACAATCAAATTCTGTGCTGACTTATTCCCTCCTCACTATAAAGTTTAAAATAAGACTAGAATGCGCGAGTGTGAATTGATAAAACGTCCTTTTCATTTCTAAGGCTTCCTTTCTGGCAAATAAAATGAACTGAATGTAAAACGTGAAATAGAAATAGCGAAAAATTCAACTTCTAATTAAATATTTTCCTATGGTTTAGAATAAACTATTCTCGAAACTGAGAATGTTTTGATCAAAGTTGTGTAAATCGAGCTGAAACTGTGCATGGAACCGTGCGTTTCCTGTATTTATCTCACCTATTTAAAGTGGCTATGTCACCCCATACGCATGCGCGAGCCAATGAAAACAAACTTGAAACGTCGCCCCGTCTTTTTCAAGTTCTGTCGGAGATTTTGGAAGGCTGTTTTTATCTGTCTAAATCTCAGTCATCGTTCGATAGTTAGCGAAGTTTTGTATTAAGAATCGTTCTATGGTGATAACAGAATAATTTTTTGGCGTTATTTTGAAATTGTTTGCCTGTGGAATGTTTTTACGTGGATTTACTGTGTCCTCTTATCAGCGGCCGTTGTAATGGCAGAGTTAATGACGGCTTCTCCACAATGAGTGATGGAATCTTTGATGGAATCTTCCCTATAGTTCACAGAACCTTTCTATTGAGTTATTTTAGAGGTTGCTGGCTCTTGGATTTTTCTTGTGCTCAAAGTATGTGGACATATAATGAAGCGGCTATCGAGTTGGCGGCGGCCGTTTTTGGTAAACGATTACAAGAGCATCAGGCCATCCCTTTCGTGACCAAACTAAAGTCCTGGCGAAGGAAACATTATAAAATTCGGCTAGATTCCTTCTTGTATTTATCTGGATTTACGGCAAAGATAAACACGACCGTTTGCTCGTCCAGATTGTTCTCAACGGACTTAGAGAGGCACCTTAGTACGAGTTAGATCCCCTTAAATGCTATGTTTTTGAACTGTTTGTGTTCGAGCATATTTTTGGAAAATAGCAGAGTTTACTTTCCCTTTTTATCAACGGAGTGCTAAAGGGACTGTTCATTATTTATCGGGGAGGGGGGGGGCTGGTGCAAATAGGGGTGGGCCACCATTTTTATGCATGGCTTAAAGGGGGGGCCATTAAAAAATATGCAAACGTTTTGCCAGCAAAAATGTTAAAAGCTTCATCTGGATGCCATCAACAAATTCAGCCTATTAAAACAGCTTTATACAACAACTTTTATTGACACTTACAAATCAGTATCTTACAACATTGATCTTATTTCTACTGTAAACATATCCAGCACCATCATCATCATTGTTGTTGTCCTCATATTTAATAATCATCATCATTGTCATTATCACCATTACCATTGTTGCCATCATCACCATTGTCATCATTGCCTGCATCATCATCATCATCATCATCATCATCATTACTGTCATCATCATAGGCATTATCTGGTTCTAGGTTAGTGTTTTCGTTTCTTGGAAAATTGTCTATATATTCACTAATCAAGTTTACAGCTTCAGTAGATAGTTGTCTATCTTCATACATAATTTGAAGATATTTCACTTGACACAATGATAATGTAGATAGAGCTTCCAATTTTAGGTTTAGGATTTGAATTACTTCAGATGCAGAAGCATTCGAAATAAACTCTCGCACTTTCTGTATGTTGGCAGCTTTTCTCGAAACTTTCCATCTTTTGGCTTTCCTTCGGTTCTCTTTCTGAGAACGCTTTTTGGTTTTTGCATTCACATGGGGGGCATATTGGAACATATTTGATGTCTTCTCTAACTTTTCCTTAAGGCTTTCTTCTATTTCTATCACCCTTTCTTTAACTTTTATAAGTTTGCCAATAAGTTTTTCATCAAATGTTTTCGGGTGGTTGTGTCCTGGAAGCAGTTTCCCTGCTTTGGAGAAATGAGTACAAAGATGTTTTTTTGCATCTTCCTCCTGCTTCTGGATGGACGTCTTAATATCTTGATCCATTTTCAAGTTGTTTTCCAATATAGGTAGGTCAGAGCGTGTAAATACATAATCTTCACTGAAATATTTGCCTGCAACAGTCAATACGACAATTGATACAATTGTCTACACAGTACGGTCTGGGCGAAGAGCAACTCAAATCCAAATTTAAGGTAGCTTTAAATAGAATGTCTATCAGTTGGACAAGGTGACTTGATACAAGTAAATACAATACTTTTTGTTTCATGCATGCCGGAGGACAAGGGGGGATGGCGGGGGTCAGCAAAAATCAAGCATGGCATATTTTACATTGCACCACCCCCTCCCGATAAATAATGACCAGTCCCCAATGATGCTTGGTTCTGTTTTCTCGACGTCGCAGTGATTCGGCACGATCGAACAATTTTGCGCGATAATGTATGTTTCCCTAAGATCAAAGCAAAGACTTGATGTCTCTTCTATCAGCATCTAAATTATAAAATCACTAGCGACAGACAAGTCTAATTGTTAATGATTTGAAACAGTCTTGGTCTTTATCTTCGGTCTAGCGTCTTTTGTTGCTCGTTTGTAAAATACAACTTCGATTTATTTTGTTGAATAAGACAATATGTTGTTGAATTTTTGTTTGCGCACTATTTTATGAATTTTATGAATGGCATGCGTTTTTACTCCAAAACTACAAGTAAAATCTTCGTCACAACTTTATTCTTGATCTAGCATAACCAGAAAAGAAACGTTCCGTAAATTTTATCGAAATATCCCTTATCTAAACACATTTCGCTTGTTAACCTCTCTAAATTCGGAGCCTTGAACGCGACAGAGAACATGGAGAAAGTCACGCGTTAAAAACAATAGAATTTTGACAGTTGAAAGTAATTTGCATAACCTTAGAGCGCATGCTCTCCAGCTGACATAGCCCCTTTAATGGAATATGTGTGAAAATCTTCCTTATGAATCGGTATATTTCAAAGAGCTACACAACGAGCAAGAATGCTATTGACCGACGATAGTGTCAACTATTACTAGTCTTAGCGATATACAGGGAAAGGCAGAGGTTTTTACAACAAGAAATGGACCCGCCTTGTCTATATTTGAGAAAATGCAACTGTATTATACTTGAAACTAAAAACTCAATTGACTAACCAGCGTTTACCACAAACTGGTGCAGGAAGTTTACTCGCCCCAGGCTTCTTCATACCTCCTAGGGCGTTAATGAGAGACGACTGGGGACGGGCCAGTACAGGAACTGTAATTTGAGCGCATTGGGCTCCAGGGCAGGTTTTGCTCTCAATTGACAAACTCCAATAGCGAAAACAAATCAGCTATTGCACTTTTACAAGATAGAATATTTATTCTTCCTCTACATTTATATCTTGTTTCTGGTCTGTCTAGGCATGGCACAATACATTTGTTTTCTCTGATTAAAAACGCATGCAGTCAATAGACATAGGAATAGATGACATGGTTTACAAGTGTACAAGTTAAGGGGACAATAGAGAGTTTTAGATCCGAGTTTACCGCGAACCTCTAACCTCAGGAGGTCACGTGACAAGCCCTTCGCGTCACGTTTGAGGTTTACGACGTGAGTTTTCAACGTGGAGAGGTAGGTTTTCACGTATGTCATTTACCTCAAAGCTTTTAGCGTATAATTCTTGTTTTATCCCACGTAATGATACGAAAATCTTGTGGAGCAAGTCTTTATCCATTAACAGAGGCACAAATTCGGGCGAAATGCTAACTTTGATAAATGTTATTGAATCTTGAAAACAAGTGCCATTCATTGCTGCTAATTCAAAATGGTGGCCGTAAATTTGCAAGAAGAACTATGTAAGAATTTACAGCTCTTTACTGCTAGATAACCCAGTGTTACCGTAAATTTCTTTTGTTTTCACTGATTGATATTTCTACTATTTCTACATTGAAAAATAAATTTAGAATGGCTCCATTTCGTTGGCCAGAGGCTCGACACGAGCTGGCACTTGCCAAGGAAGTAGCTCAACACAACCCCGAGAAACCTGATGAGTGGGAAGCAGTAGCTAGGAGACTCGGCAAAGCATTTTCTACGGATTCATGTACCGTTGAGCTTAAGGGAAGAGGCTGCCGTGAAAAAAATGGATCGGATTTTAACCAAATACAAAGAAGAAGACATGAAAGGTTTAAAGAGGTAAGTTTACTGTTGGTTGGCTTGTTTATACTCACAACTGAGCAAAACGTTCAACCCTTTGTTTTCATTAGTCACAATTACAAATGTACAACAAGTCTATATGTTTGTTTCTCGTATTGCTTTCCTTTTCAATAATCTTGCTCTTCTAATGGTAAAATGTACAATCTGTCACGAAAATAAATTTTCATCCAAAACATGATTTATGGCCTTCAGATTTGCTTAAGCTTATAATTTGATAGTGTAATGGAGTATAAAACCAAACTGAAATATTGACTCTGGCCTAGACAATTTACGCTATCATTTAACTTGATTCAAGGCAAATCCAATCCTTTATTATCATAAATTTTACAATTTACAATTGTTACAATTTTCCTGATTAGCTTCTGCCTCGTCATTTAGGTTTTATACAACACTGGCTTAGCATTTATGTCAAGATTTTTAATTCTCTCCTTTATTTTGGATTTGTGATACCTGGTTTGTAATGGGTTTACAGAGGTCTTGGATACAAGCACAGACGCTAGTGCAGGCATATCAAACAGCGATGTCAGAACAAGCTGATGAGTGCCAGAATTCAGTTAAGGTCCCACCACCGGCCACTTTCCATTAGATCACAATAAATAAATACTTAGCAACAGAACTTTGTCAGACTTTGCAGCCGGATACTTTTTGGGAACAGCCAATGATCTACTTCAAAACATTCCGACTGCACTGATCAAACATACTACAACATAACTGTGGTGTTTTTATTATTTTTTATGATTTTGAAGATCAGGCACAGAGGAAGAATTCACTGAGTTACAGCAGTTATGTGAGGATATCTTAGTGTATAGAAGAGATATGATAGAGATGCGACAGATAGAAAAGGAATCAAGAAAGAAAAGGGAGCAGGAAGATAAAAGGAAAGGGGAGGAGATGCAGCAGGCAGCGGTGGAAAGACTAGCAAGTTAATATCCAATATTATTTTGTCCAAACAAGCATAGGTTATAGTGATGATATCCATAAGGACTGTTTTTCTTTTGCTGTTTTACAGTCTTTACACAATTTTCTGACAGTTCCTGTTTTACTTGGTGGTTCATGATGCGTTGAGATTGAGCACCATGTAATTTAAGTGCCAAATTTTTCACTTGACAGTTTGTAGTTTTAACCCAGTTTGAATAGAACCCATGAAATGCAGAATAACAAAATTGCTTTTATTTTAGAGCGCCGTAGTGATGCTGGCACATCAGGTGGTGCCACGTTGGATGTGTCTAGTAGCGGGTCAGATGAAGAAATTCCTTCAAAAGGTAACCTTTGTGAAATCTAGCAAACTATTATTCCAACTTCTCTGACTGATTGGTTGCCATAAATACAGTATATGAAATTGATTTTCTCTTTTACTGAGGGCCATGAAAGGAAAGTAATGTGTGGTGTAATGAACAAAATGTTTGTTTGATGAAATCCATATATATAATATATATATTTTTATTTAAACATATTTGAGAGTCTGCCTCAAGAGCGTGACTGCTCATCTTTGGGACTCAATAGATCCATAATTTTAATGTGGTTGCTCAGTTTTCTGCCACACTGTGATTACATATTTCCATCTCCTTCCCCACCCCTGGGGGAAGAGGGGGGCTTGATGCTTTAGTTGTTCTTCTATATAAATAAATACCACACTTTTTCTTTTCTTTCTTTTGTAATTTATTTCTACAGGAACCAAAAAGAAAGTTGCCAGGTCAAGCAGAAAGTCAGCAATTGAAATGCTGTCAGAAAAGTACAAAGAGAAGGCAAAACTAAAAGACAAAGAGCTGGAAGTGAGAAAGATGGAGCTGGATCTTCAGAAACAAAAGTACGAAGATGAAGCTGAGGAAAGGAAGCTTTTGTTCTCCATGCTTCGAGAACAACTGAAAAAATAAATCATTTTGTCTTTAGTTGCTCTTGAAACATAAGCTCTTACTTCTGCTTCATATTCATACTTTTGTCTTACTTTATTGACACCCTTTAAACATAATTTGTCTTCACTGGAGGAAAAGAAAATAAAAGATTCATCTTCTCTTGTTTTATTTCACTCCTGTTGCTATTTACATAAATAAAATAATTATAGGTAGAAAGACCAAGTAAACATGGTCACAGGTTGGATAGGTAGGTTTCCAGGGGTGGCGGCTCTAAACTAAAATAAGTGGTTGTCTGTGACCCATATAAACAGGTGTGACAATTGATAAGAATACATGCAACTAAATAATATTTACCCACAGGCTGTAAAAGGATCTTTAAGTTCTTTTTAAAGTCTAAATATGCAAAATTTTGGCAGATTTTACCAAAACCCCATTCCACACATGTCCGAACTCTGCTCATTCTCGTATTAAATTCCTGCTCATCATCTGCAAGGTGTGCTTGACGGAATGGAGCAACAATGTTCTGTGTAATGCCATAGGCAGGATCCCCATAAATGACATATGGCTCTCCATTGGGTTGAACAAATCGACGCAGTTTAGCTGACAGGCCACTCACCCCAAGCATGAAGGCATCATGTCGGCGACCCTCTATAGGACCAAACATATGGGCTATCACGCCATTTGGGGCTTGAACAGACTAAAGAGTAAATGAAACAAATATTTGTAAATGAAGTATAAAGTTGTATGACAACATCCTATATATCTTTCCTGACTGAAGTTAGATTCCTTTTGCTTGGCCTGAGGAACTTGGTTTGGAAGTAGTGAATTTCAGATTTTACCAAACAACCTTTACTGAATTAGATCTTCTACCCTCCTTTGGTATCTAGCCTCCTTTACAGATCTGTAAAGAGTACAACAAGAGAAGCTCTTTATTTTATTTATTTCTTGCAGATTCACTCCACTAAATTACAAATACCAGGGTTGCCCCCACTAATGAAGATGTATAAACAGTATATACAAGTCTAAAAATAATGTGTTCTAATTATCCTTGATAAGGATAGTATTAGATAGGTTTCTTATGGTGAAAGGGAACCCAACTCCCTCTCCTGCATTACTTGCCTGGAGTGCCTTCACAGGAGACTCCTTTGCTGTGATATTTTTGTCAAGGCAAGGAAGTTTGCTTTCTTTCGTTTAACACCTTGGAATTTTAATATCTGCAATTTTAATACCTTGCAATTTTAATACCTTGCAATTTTAATACCTGGAATTTTAAGCAGTGTGTTCTCTTATGACCACTGAACATAATTCTTTGATTGTGGACAGGACGGGCTATTGGTCGGGGGGTCCCATCGATAAAACCCCAACACCAAGTAAGAGGAGCTCCTTTTTCATGAACAGCCTCAGCAAAAGCTTCAGGGTCAAGCCAAACCAGGTCAAGACTATCTAAGAGGTGGTGGAATCTGTCATAGATATCATCCATAATCTGAAATCCATGGAAAGTAGTACAGCAGTGTGCTTGTGTTTGTTTTCTTGTTTTTTTTTTTTTTGCTTTTTTATGAAGTGGGTTGTTTGGAACCACATGTGGGACAATCATTTTAATTACTCTAATTGCATAGAGAGTGGGGAGCACAGTTGGCACAGTGGTGAGAGCACTCGCCTTCCAACAATGTGGCCTGAGTTCAATTCCTGGACCCGGTGTCATAAGTGGGCTGAGTTTGTTGATCCTCCTTTCTGCTCCGAGAGGTTTTTCTCCGGGTACTCCGCTTTTCCCCTCTCCCAAAGACCAACATTTGATTTGATTTGTAATTAGGGATTTGATAATTAGATTTGTAATTTGTAATTTGAATAATTATTGTGATGTGCAGATGAAAATTATCATATTGATATCTGCACAACATAAGTGAATAAATATTATCATTATTATTAAAGAGTTATTCCAGTGAATAGGATGAGTTAAATTTTTCCCTCAACTTGACTTCGTAGTCTAAAACAAACAAAACTGAAGCAAACAACACAAAATGTACTGTAAGACTCTCTACACCCCTAGTCAAATTCAAGAATCGTAAAATGAAAGGGGAATACAGGCAACTTCTACAGGGAAGACGAATGGACAGAGCAACAATTTTACCTTGTTAAATATCAAGCTCAGTTCTGATACTGTTCGCCCGAAAACAGGCACCAGATCACTCCATCGATTAGGATACGCCAATCTTCTTAAAAGAATCATCAGTGCCTCCATCCCAGTAGCAATAGTCCCTTGACTGCAAATGTAATTGGCTGGCAGTTGTAACGCGTCCCGGAGTCTTTCCATATCTCCTTTTGAAAATCTGAGATTGAGGGTGAGGATTTTTATATCTATATACAACCTGCTGAAGTCAAGTTTACAAGCATAAAACTTGGCCGTTCAAGAAAAGACAAAAGGCAAAGAATTTGTACCTAAACATGGCCTCACACTGAACATCAGGTATATCCTGGAGATGAATACGGGGGTAGTTTGCATCGTTTTGTTGTGGAAACATGAATTCCAGCAATAGTTCATCCAAGTCGTCTTCACTGCTACTTGAGTCATCACTGCTGTCTTGCCACAGCATCACATCTACGATATCATCAAAGTTTTTCCTGGTGGACACAATTTTTAATGCCAAGACTTTGTTTTCCAATGCATAAAACCTGATAAAACTTAGTCATAAAATCACATTTGTCGAAAACTGTTTTAACTTCTGACAAATAAATAGAAACTAACCTTGCAGCTGCCGCCATTTTGGATTATATTACCCAGAATCCACCTCTTCAATCCACCGCCAATCTAAATCGAATTATGTTTGAACGTCGAACCGCAAACGGGTAACCGCAAACCGCGGTTAGAGGTTCGCGGTAAACTCGGATCTAAAACTCTCTAATATTCGTCAACTCACGCCGGCAGTGAAACAGCTTCTCTTGAATCTTTTATGTCCTTGACTGACAGGAGAAAAAATGCCCAGTGGGACTGATGATGAAGGTAAATACCAATACCCCCCCCCCCCCCCTCTGCCTCCAACCACCAACATCATGTTTTCTTTCCTAACTTAAGCGGCATTTCCGTTCGCAGCCCTCTGCTAAATTCTCTTTTCAGTTATACATTTTTTTTTCAGTAAAAAACGTATGAGCATTAGAAGGAAAATGGTAACTTGCAACATATTTAGAAGCAAATAAAGCTAATTTCTTTTTCATTTGGATTAATCAGATCTAGAACTGTCAAGATAGCGACATTCCGAATGAACCCAGTACACGAATTCTTTGCAAGACATCAAAAATCTTAGAAGAGGTCCACTTAGTCCCCATCCCATGCCACCTTTGAGAAGTTTTAGCAAGGTCAGGATAAGTTGTATGAAGTTTATCCGTGCATTAGAGAGACTAAAGCTACGTGTAAACGGACGCAACATCTCCAAACTATGCTGGGAGTTGTTGGCCAACAATGTTGCGTCCGTTTCCACGGCGCTTAACATCCAACAATGTTGGGAGTTGTTGGCCAACGATGTTACTTCCAGTTGGAACGGAGCTCAACAACCAACAATGTTGCATCCGTTTGCACGTGGCCTAACTATAAGGCTTCGTCACTCAAACATCTACATGGGAGGCAGTCCGCTCCGCTAAATAAGGGGAACGCGGACTATGAGAACAAGATTGCTTGGGAGGCTACCGAGGGTTATGTTTTATCAGGTTTTATAGATGCTATTTACTCTTAGTTTGAAATGTGTACGTGTTTTGGGCACCCTTACCCAAAGCTGGCTCTTTTGTAGCTCTTACTCAGAAGAGAATCCTTTAGCATAACTACAATGGTCAAATTTTACACAAGTTCTAGTATTGTTTACTTTCTTTAAAGGGAAGGAACAAAGGAACTTTCTGGGAATGTAGAAGCATCCTTCACTCTGTATTGCGTTAGACAATTAAGTTTTTACCTTGAAATATCAGAAGATATAAAAAGACGCGAAAATGACCTAGTATAAAATGGTACACTTTCTTCCCACCATATTAGGAGCACATTTCTCTTGCCGACAACATACACCTAATTGCAATAACTTTGTCTCAGATAAATGAAAAAAAAAAGCCAAGTAGGAATTAATTAGGCTAATAAGCCCAATGAATTCATTTGCAGCATCCGACATGGACGTCGTATTTGCCTGTTGGAATTTCCTATTGTTTTAAAGCTGAAGGACAATAAAACTGAAATCCGCCATGAGAATGTGGCTAAATTAGCCGATTAAAGTCCTATTTGGCCTTTTCGTTTTTTCATTTTTCTATGCACAACGTTTTTTGCAAATGGATGTATATATGAACACTACGATAAGAAAGCAGGTAACTCTTTAGTTTGACCCGGCAACCATACAGTCATGATACAGTGGTATTTTTAAATGAGTGCCACAAGGAAAACGTGCCATTTCAGTTACAGCACGGACAAATGCCAGCATTGAATTGAAGGGTCGTACTAAGTCTTGCTGTTCATGATGATGAGCACAAAGTCCTTTTAAGCCAGCAGTGTCCCAAACCACTGCTCTCGTCACCGCTGTTGAACCTTAATGTTGATCCCTATTCTTCTTCGTGTTGTGTGCGCATGCCTTGATGGCCTTTTTATTGTTTTGGTTTTCACGTTTCAAGTACGAGCCTGCACCCCTTTGAAAGTGACCCTCCTACTTACCCTAAAACAGAAAGTGATTAATCCCAAACCCTTCAGATAAATTGTGTTTGCATCTCACGGTAAGGGCTAATCAATCGGCGCAAAGATGCTGTGGAGGTTCACCAGATCACTGATGAAAAAGTCGCTCTCAAGTCCGAGTATGTTTCTAAATTGAACGTCGATCAAGCATGAGATAAAAGTGTCACGCCATAAGTTATGCAAGGCAAGGGACACACGTCAAGCGCAGAGGCACTGCTTGGTTACACAAGCCAGTTTGTGTTATCCAACACTTAAACCCTGTCTACACTGAAACTCGATTCTGGTGTTCTTTTAGGTTCTTATTCTTTACCAGGTGAAATCGTTAATCAGTGTGTGTACTTCGAGTGCTTCAAGGGTGTAAAACTGACTATTTTTATTCACTTCCGAGTGTTTTAACATAGCCAGCTTAGTAGACATTTGAAGCGGAAGAAAAAAGGGGAATAAGGCGCGCGAGTTTATAAAAAGCGAAAAACGATCGCCTATCGCGTTCTCGCGCGCTTAAATGTTTCACTTTTCTCTTGCCCTCCCGTACGTCTACCACGCAGGCTAGTTAAGGCCGTTATATAGCGCGCGAGGAAGGAGGAAAGAGAACCACGCGCGCCTTTGTGTTTACCCTTTCCCTTCATAAGCCTGCCACACAGGCTTTTAACTGTTAATGACAGTTGTTAAGGCAGTTGTATGGCGCGAGAGGAAGGAGGAAAGGAAGCCCCGCGTGCCTATCGCGTTCTCGCGCGCCTATACATTTCACCTCTGCCTTTCCATTCATACGCCTGCCACATAGACAAGTAACCATTAGCGACAGTTCTTGCCAATTGCATGATGCGTTAGGAAGGGGGCAAGGGAATCTTGCGCGTCTATCACGTTCTCGTGCAAATTAATTCCTCCTTCCCTATCCCTTCACATGCCTGCCACGTAATTTAAAACCTTTGACCAGACTCCGCGTCATTATCATTTCTTCGTTTAGCCTTCAGCTCCCAATTGTTTAAAAGCTGAATAACGCTATCCATCGGATAAGTCTTTATCCAGTGGATAAGTATTAGGGAAACCAATTGCGTGATCCACTGGATAGTGATTTATCCGGTGATAGTGCTATCCAGCTTTTGAACTAAACTGAGGCCAGAAGCACAGCGGAATTTCTATTGGTAGTTCAATGACAACGTATAAGAGTGTACATGACGTAGGAATGACGTGCACGTGATACCTGGGTTTTTCCTTCTGTGAAGTATGATCTGAGTGATTTTACTTTACCGACTGGACCCCACTGGAACACCGTTAATTACAAAAATTACGTAAAAAAAATTACAAAACCCCCAAAACTCTAAAATGTCATCAACGAATCAATAAATATTCACCTGTAGCTGGAAAACGGAGACTGGGTCAGATTGACGAACTCACCGCTACTTAACAACTTCTGAAGATTTTAAGAAAGTAGACTGTTACCTTTATACGAATACTTATTAGCCTTTTTGTCTGAAATATAGTTGAAAGAGCCGCTACTGAAGTCAAGAACAAAAAATAAACCGAAAATGAAAATATCGCCTAAACAAATATCTTGCCGATTTGATGTCTACCGTGTTCGAGGAGTATCACTTATAAAACTGATTCACTTATTTTGATTCTTGTCTTGTTTTCTTTTATTTTGATATTTTGTCTTTGATTATTAAAAAGAAAAATATACTTGGTTTTAGTGTTTCATTTGATTTTGCAGCCAATGCTTGTTTTTTTTCTTTCAAGCGGTAGATTATATGTTGCATGGAGAATTCTTTGTTCTGAAGGTGTTTCCTGGAAGGTGGGCACTCCCCCATTTGGCCTTGACAGTAGTGTGGCCCTGAGCAGGGCTTGAGTTTCAGGATCTTGGACCGGAATCCTTTACAAGAATGTGAAGGTTGGATATAAGCAGTCTACATTTGTGATACCAAAATGTTTGACCAAAAAAATCAAATTCTAAGACGTTAATTTGAAAAATTACTTATTTCTGTATGCGAAACGAAACGATTATCAGGGTCCTAATATACGGTCTCTTTTCTTAAGCAAGGTCTGGGTTTGAAGGCCTCGGTGGAAAAACTTTACCCAAACTTTCCTTGAGTGCACCCCTCAGGTATTATGTTTTTCTTGAGATTAGTGAGCCTTTGGACTAGCTGGAGCGCAATGTCCTGTAGTTCCTCCGTTGGAATAAATACTTTTGTTTTCTCTTAACATTTATGCGACTGCTCTAATGGTTGTTGAGGCAGCTTCCTCGGAACAAACCCTCTCTGTCTCGTTCGTTCGGCCATGACATATGTCTGAGTGTCCCGGCCTTGAGTATTGCTGACCACCCGCTACTGAAGCTGTCACCGTCTTGGGTAAGATCCATATCTATCTCATTTTGAAAATCAAAAACGCCATTTGAGAAATCAAGCGCGATACATTTTTCACAAACATTTGGGACCGCCCTTCCACGGCACCCGCTGTGCATCAGATTCTGATGCAAGCTCCTATTGGCGAGAACACTGACTGTTCACAGGTTTAATTTACATCGCCTTTTTGGTCGGCACGTAGCACGCGATTTGAATAAACGTTCGTAAACAGGTCTTTTGATCTTTAAGATGGCGTCTTCTGGCGCTTGACTGATGAGCTTCGCAATGAAGAGCTTTACGTTTCAAAAGAGCTCAAATAAAATGTTCTTGTATCAGGGGGCAAATCACGTCGACCAGAAACAATAACCACAGAAAATCAATATACGTGTGACGACCCCACAGTATGAAAAAAGCGGCAAAAAACACATTTGCTCAGTTACAACTAAACCGTCCAGAGCATAATCTACCCGCCAGAGAAAAAAGCTCGTTGGAAAAAGCCGCATTTTGGCACGAGGTAAAAGTCATGTGTTGGCTACCTAAATGTTTGTCTATAGGCTCTCCCCCTTTCCCTTCCCTCTCCTCGCATTTTGTTCACCCTTTCCTCAAGCAGAGAGTCTGTTCACAGGCTAATCCTTCCTGGACCATCCGCTTGGATCTAATCCAACTCTTTTCTTTTCTTTTTTGTTTTTCTTGATTTCATTTA